TTTGAACCTTTTCTAATGCCAGTATATCTTTTTTGAGATGAGGAGACCACTTCTGTACACAGTATTCCAGATGTGGGCGTACCATGGATTTATATAAGAGCAATAAGATATTCTCCATCTTATTTTCTATCCCTTTTTTAATGATTCCTAACATCCTGTTTGCTTTTTTGACTGCCACTGCACACTGCCTGGATGTCTTCAAAGAACTATCCATGGTGACTCCAATATCTCTTTCCTGATTAGCTGTAGCTAAATTAGCTCCCATCTTATATGTAGTTGGGGTTATTTTTTCCAGTGTGCTTTACTATACATTTATCCACATTAAATTTCATTTGCCATTTTGTTGCCTAGTCACTTAGTTTGGTGAGATCTTTTTGAAGTTCTTCACAGTCTGCTTTGGTCTTAACTACCTTGAGCAGTTTAGTATTATCTGCAGACTTTGCCACCTCACTGTTTATCCCTTTCTCCAGACCATTTATGAATAAGTTGAATGGGATTGGTCCTAGAACTGACTCTTGGTGAACAGCATTAGTTAACCCTCTCCATTCTGAAAATTTACCATTTATTCCTACCCTTTGTTTCCTGTCTTTTAACCAGTTCTCAGTCAATGAAAGGATCTTCAGCCTTTGGTGAGGGACCTTGTCAAAGGCTTTCTGGAAATCTAAGTACACTATATCTACTGGATCCCTCTTGTCCACATGTTTGTTGACCCCTTCAAAGAACTCTAATAGATTAGTAAGACACGATTTCTCAACCATGTTGACTTTTGTCCCCAAAATTATGTTCTTCTGTGTCTGACAATTTTAATCTTTACTATTGTTTCAGCTAATTTGCCTGATACTGACGTTAGACTTACCAGTCTGTAATTGCCGGGATCGCCTCTAGAGCCCTTTTTAAATATTGGCGTAATATTAGCTATCTTCCAGTCGTTGGGTACAGAAGCTGATTTAAAGGATAGGTTACAAACCATAGTTAATAGTTCCACAATTTCACATTTGAGTTCTTTCAGAACTCTTGGGTGAATGCCATCTGGTCCCGGTTACTTGTTACTGTTAAGTTTATCAATTAATTCCAAAACTTCCTCTAATGACACTTCAATGTGAGAGAGGTGCTCAGATTTGTCACTAACAAAGGACGGGTCAGGTTTGGGAATCTCCCTAACATCCTCAGCCGTGAAGACTGAAGCAAAGAATTCATTTAGTTTCTCTGCAATGACTTTATCGTCTTTAAGTGCTCCTTTTGTATCTCAAACGTCTAGGGGCCCCACTGGTTGCTTAGCAGGCTTCCTGCTTCTGTTGTACTTAAAAACATTTTGTTACCTGTGGAGTTTTTGGCTAACTGTTCTTCAAACTCCTCTTTAGCTTTTCTTATTACATTTTTACATTTAATTTGGTATTGTTTATGCTCCTTACTATTTACCTCACTAGGATTTGACTTCCACTTTTTAAAAGATGTCTTTTTATCTCTCGCTGCTTCTTTTACATGGTGGTTAAGCCACGGTGGCTCTTTTTTAGTTCTTCTATGTTTTTTAATTTGGGGTATACATTTAATTTGGGCCTCTATTATGGTGTCTTTGAAAAGTGTCCATGCAGCTTGAAGGGATTTTACTTTAGTCACTGTACCTTTTAATTTCTGTTTAACTAACCTCCTCATTTTTCATAGTTTCTATGGAACATATTGATTCATTTAAGATTTTTACTTCATTTGATTCTAAATTTTCTTTCACATATAGTTCCGCTCCCCCCACCCGCACGACTAGTTCTGTCCTTCCGATATATTTTGTACCCTAGAATGATTGTGTCCCATTGATTGTTTCACTCCACCAGGTTTCTGTGATGCCTATTATATCAGTATCCTCCTTTAACACAAGGCACTCTCGTTCACCCATTTTTTTTTAGACTTCTTGCATTTGTGTACAATCACTTTAAAAACTTGTCACTATTTAGTTGTCTGCCCTTTTCTGATGTGTCAAATTCTTTTTTATGTGAATGTTTTTCATCTGATCTGGCCCATACTTTATCCTCTTCCATCCTCTCCTCCTGACTAAAACCTAGAGAATCTCTATCACTAGACTCTCCTCTAAAAGACGTCTCTGTCCGATCCACGTGCTCCTCCACACCAATCGGCTTTCCCCATCTCTTAGTTTAAAAACTGCTCTGCGACCTTTTTAATGTTAAGTGCCAGCAGTCTGGATCCACTATGGTTTAGGTGGAGCCCATCCTTCCTGTATAGGCTCCCCCTATCCCAAAATTTTCCCCAGTTCCTTATAAAGCTGAATCCCTCTCCCTACACCATCATCTCATCCACGCATTCAGACACTGAAGCTCTGCCTGCCTACCTGGCCCTGTGTGTGGAGCTGGAAGCATTTCCAAGAATGCCACCACAGAGGTCCTGGATTTCAGTCTCTTTCCTAGCAGCCTAAATTTGGCTTCCAGTACATCTGTACTTGTCACACAACACCAGGACATCTCCAACTGTAATTTGAGATAATTGTTCCTTGTTCTGCTATCCGTCACTACTGAGAATAGCCTCTCTCCATCTTCTTTAGAACCTCCCTTTAGGAACTTGGAGGCTGCTTATCAAATCCCCCCTCTTTCCTTCTGCAGACTAAATAAACCCAAATCTCTTAGCATCTTCTCGTAAGTCATGTGCTCCAGCCCCCTAATAATTTTGCTTGCCCTCCGCCAGACTCTCTCCAGTGCGTCCACATCCCTTCTGTAGTGGGGGGCTCAGAATTGGACACAGTTCTCCAGATGTGGCCTCACTGGAACTGAATAAAGGGGAATAATCACTTCTCTGGATCTCCTGGTAATGCTCCTCCTAATGAACCCTAAAATGCCATTAGCCTTCTTGGCTACAAGGTCACACTGTTGACTCATATCCAACCTCTGTAATTGTAATTCCCAGGTCCTTTCTGCTGAACTACTACTTAGCCAGTTAGTCCCCAGCCTGTAACAGTGCTTGAAATTCTTCCACTCCAGGTGCAGAACTCTACCCTTGTCCTTGTTGAACCTCATCAGATTTCTTTTGTCCCAATCCTCTAATCCAGTGGTTTTCAAACTTTTTGGGCTCTGGAGCCCTTTACATACATAAAAATATATGCGGAGCCCCAGCAGTACACTGATTGTATGTGTTGTACCTATCAGTGTTTCCAGTTTGTCAACCTCGCAGAGCCCCTGGAGATGTCTCGCGGAGCCCTGGGGCTCCATGGAGCACAGTTTGAGAAACACTGCTCTAATGTGTCTAGGTCACTCTGGACCCTATCCTTGCCCTCCAACGTATCTACCTCTCCCCCTTGTTACTTCCTTTTTTCAGTATTGGAGATTTGAGCTGCATTTAGTTCTTGCATGAAGCATGCTTTGTCATACCCATTTAGGCAGGAATACACTCATTAATAAGCCTATAAAGATGAGATGTATATTATATTTATAAAGTAAATATAAGAGTGTTTGAATAATACACAATTCCAGAGTATTACATTTGTCCCATCTCAATACAATAGGTGTTGTATATTCAATAATATCTGTTTATAAAAATATTTATGTAGGTATTGCTATTGTATTCCTCGCTATGGCATATATCAGAGAATGTTCTATTTCTCTCTCCATTTGCTGTTTCTCGTTGGTGGATAGGTGTTTTGTTTTTGGTTTTTATGGGATGGGTAGGTCAAATCAGTGACTTTCACGATGCTTTGAATTTCCTCCAGTGATGAGTGCCTCAGTCATTAGTATGTTCCCAAGAGAGCTGTGTTTCCTGCAGCAGAGAGTCTTATTCTGTTGGGCTGATTAGTAGTATTAATTGACACTATCACAGGTGCTCTGAGAGGTCATGTTAGGTAATCACAGGGAGATGGTACTGACTTTGCATTCTAGAAAACTGAAATAAGTATGTAAACAGTTTATTCTATACATTATATGAAACTACTGTTTAATTTTACGGTAATAACTTTTTTAAAAAGTCTGATGCAGTTAGCTGACAATGTGGAACACCACTTGTCCTTTTTGCATTGATTGCAAAATTATATCCAGCCTTGTTATCTAACTGTATTGATCATAGAAGTGTTAAAATATGGTAATATTTTGTAGGTTCGACAAGTCTATGGTGATGGAAGCAGAACCATGAATGAGCTATGGAGATAATCTGAAACGATGGTTATGCCTAGGGTCCTACCAAATTCACAGCCATGAAAAACATTGCCGTCTGTAAAATCTGGTCTCCCCCATGAAATCTGCCCTTTTGAGTGCTTTTACGCCTATTTCAGGGATGGAGAACCTACAGCCTGGGAGCTAGATGCAGCCTTGATCTGGCCCACGTGGCTTAAGGCTCTCCTCCCACAGGTGGGGCTGAGGGAATGGGAGTGCAGAGGAAGCTAGTACCACCACTTGCTGGCAGGGGGTTGCCTTCAGAAGCAGTGCTGACATAGCAATGCCATGCTATGACACTCTTGCTTCTGTAGTGCTGCTGGCACTCTTGCTTCTGTAGTGCTTCTGTAGTACTCCAGTCCGGCTGCCAGCTCTGAAGGCAGCGCCACCACCTATGGTAATACAGAAGTAAGAGTAGTAGTTTTGCAACCTCTGCCCTTACAATAACCTTGATCCTCCTTTTTGGATCAAGAGGACCTCTACAATTACAATGCTTTGGAGTTTTCAAAATTTAAATTGGTACGATTATATAATTTTCTCTAAATTCAGGTTGACTTAGTTACCATTTGCAAATAATTGTGATATGGTGAGAACCTGAAGCAAAAGTTGTAGTCCACTTTTTTTTTTTTAGATTGATACATTCTGTCTCCACTTAAGTGAGAGGGATTATGAGGGACGGAATTAAGGCGGTTGGAAGTCTAGCAGGAAGCGTATTCACCTTAGCATTTTATTCTCTCTAACATTTTAAAGTACATATTAAGGTTTTTTTTTTTTTTAAGGGAACACACCCACCTACTGATCTGTTTTACCGATTTAAAGAATTGACACCTATTCCTGCAGGTATATGTATGCAGGATGATGTGTTAAAAAGTTTTGCAGGTATGAATTTGGGATGGCTGTTTTAGTCAGGCACAACATGCCACCAAATATTTTATATGCCAGATATTTTACAGAAAAAGTATCTTTAGAAATGCTTGAGTGTGTTAATTTGAACTATATAAATATTTCAGATTTCTGTTTTTCTGAAATTAGATAATCTTAGTTATATTATGATAAGTTAAAATGTGTACAGTCCCTAGAGGGAGAGGAAAATTATAACTAATTTTAGAACTCTCTTAAAAAAAATCCAAAGTTGTGTATGTACTATTTCATCTTGTTGCAGATTTAATGTGCAGTAAGTATATGGCTTATTCCATTAGCTGGAAGTAATGCTTGGGTTACTAATGTATAATGCTCACAATAGTAGCCCTGATAAGACAATTCAATATTTTTACTTATCCAAGAGTGAATATTGCCTGTCCTGGAGCATGGACTGATGTAATTTGGTAGGAGAAATTCCTTGTTGGAATGCAAACCAAAGAAACATTTATTTAGCATATTGTTTTTGTTTTTTAAATGGTGATTAGACTGAATATTAGTCACTGACCATGGATTGATCAGCAAAGTGCTGCTTAAATGGTAATAGGTGTGCGTAATATGCAATGTAACATTCAGATGGCAACTATGTGTATGTACTTGCTAGGAATGTCAAAGGTTAACTGGTAAGCATCACCCTAAATGGTTAACTGGTAACTGGTCGCAACTGGCACAGCTACTTGCCGGCTATGGATAGGGGGCTATTCTTATCCCCCCTAGCTGGGAGCCCACCGCAGACAGGGACTGCTCTCATCTAGAGAAGCCCCTGTCCACAGCAGGCCCACGTGCCCTGCAGAAAAGGGCTGCTGTGGCATCCAGAGCACCATATCACAATGTGCACTTGGAGTCCAGGCACATCATAAGCAGGGGCTGCGCCAGTGGGGGCTGGGAGCTAGGAGGCAGCATAGGACTGGGGGTGCAAGCCCCACAGGCTGTGGGATGCTGCTGCCTTACTGGAGCGGTCCCCAGCCCTGGATCCCACTTTAGTCGGTTAACTGGCTAATCATTAGGCTAACCTAACGTTAACCAATTAACTGATTAACCAGTATTTTACATCCCTAGTAATGCAAGTCAGTGTTTCCTAAACTGACAGCTTCAGATTTCTATGCAGATTTTTAAATCTACCACAAGATGTCACTGTAACCTAAAACAGATTGGTTTCTTTAAGTAGTACCATGGACTGTTCTGATGTTTTAAAAACATACTTTGTAAACACAGAATGTCACAGATTAGTTGGGCTTTGCTTATTTGCTTGTTTATTATCTCTAAAAATTGTTTTCACAATTCCAAAGCTTGGAGCTTGAAATTTAGTTTCATGGCAATACAGATCTGTGCCATAGTACAGTTAAATTTTAGTGCTGGCATTCTTTTCAGATGGCAGCTTCTAGCTTGGAAATTCCTCAGTGTTGCCTTGATTTTCTTCATCTGGAAGATTTGCTGTCCTAAATGTTCTTGGTAGCCCTCAGAATGTTGATCTGTTTTTGACCACCTGTCCTTGCACCGCTATTGCTGCGCTTATTGAGAAATATTATACAGTTGTACTTGTAATTGCTGTCTGATCCTTATTCTTGCTCTTGAAAAGCCTGGGTTGAACAGTAGATTTGTTTATTAAGAGGGTTCTTTGGAATTTGTTATCGAAGGATTATTGTACAACTTTGGAAAAGCAGTGGGAAGGAGAACAGTCACTGGAAGAATAACAAAACATGTAGATGGTATCATGAGCTTTCATGGGTATAACCCACTTCTTCAGATAG